CACCTGCTTTCACTCTGTTTCTCATGCTGAGAAATGTCGAGGCTTCCTAAAACCTTTTGAGATGCTGCTTTGTTTTGTAGTTCTTATTTTGCATTCCTAAAGCCAGTAAAGAAATTGTCCCTTGGGAATCTGTCAGTGAAGATTTTTTTATTAACATGGAGAGAGCGAACTAAAGAAGGTTCTTTATTCTTTTAACAGATTTTTAACAGTAAATTCCTCTGGCAAACAGAACAATCAGAGCTGGATGTTATTGAATCCGTGATGAGAAAGAAGTTGTTGAAAAAGAAACAGGATAATGAAGGGGTGGAAAACTAGTCCTATGGTTTGGGGAGAGAGTCCTTGAGCTTATAATAGAGAGATTGAACAGTTCATCACAGGTTTTGAGGTCTGTTGTTTTCCCAGTAACCTTGAGGGTGTCACTGGGGAGTGGCAGAGCCCAGCACAGATCACTCAAAGCCTGGGGAAGATGAACACAGCCCTGACAGCAAGTTCTCAGCATAGCAGAGCTGGTTTATAACCCTTGCGTTGCTTAGATTCCTCTGTGTGTTTCAAACAAAAAGGGAGAGAACAAAAGTTTCTGTAAGTGACCATCTAATCCATCTTCTCCTTTTCTTTCTCTTTCCATTACACTCACAAGGAAAATCCCCCAACTCCCATGATATGGAGATATCTTTCCTTTCCCCTTGCTCAGCTTTATCTTATCTGTTCTCTGCTTTATCTACACGTGTTCTAGAGGTACTAATAAATCTCCAGCTAACAAGAGATTAACTGGGTTTAGTCTTCAGAAATGTGACTGCTAACTGACAACTTGTCCTCTGGGGCCTTGGGCTTGGCTGGTCATCTCTGGCCTTGATTCCTCCCAAAGCTTTGCCTAACTTCGAGGTTCTCTGACATGGGACATCGTACCTGGATGTGATAGCAGTGCAGAGCAACCCACGTGGGCATGGGAGGTGTTGTCTGGGTGGTCTTTGGGCCGTGGGAGGAAGACTTGGGTGTGGAAAGGTCATCTGCTCTGCAGGGAAGAGCTCCCAAGTGTTGGGATGGAGCTGTGCTCTTTGTGTCTATGTCTCCTTTGGGGAGTTCTACTCTGGAGAAGGTATAGGAGAGTAAGATGAGAAATCTTAGCCCTTTTCCTTCAATCCCACATGACCTTGTGACCCCAACTCTAGTTGCTGCACTTACCCTAGGAGTTAATTCTACCTTGTTTGGAGCTCCCTGTGTGCACAGTTGGTGTAGAGACTGAAGAAACCCCAAGGAAGGTGGTGCCACCTGGGCCCTTGGTTCAGCTGGGCTGTTATTTTCAGAAGCTGCTGAAAATATTGGAGTTGAATCCAGGGACTCCTTTCCTTTGGACTCTGGGGTACCTTGGGGACCCTCAGAGGCTGTGACAGGTGACAGCAAAGCTTTGGAGCTGCAGTGAAAGGATGTTGGGTGATGCTTTCCTGCTCCTGCCTCTCCATGGGACTGAGCTTAGTGTGAGGCTAGGAATGTGCAGAAGTGGGAGAGCAATCCCTCAGGAGCCTGATTTCCACAAAGCTGTGTCTCTTGTGCCCTCAAACGGGGGAGAACGTGGGCACCAAATTGTTGTGTGAGAACATGGACCTTATGTGGGGCCACCCCGAGCTCTGTCCCTGCTCCAGCACTGTGGGGTGGGAAGGGGAGGAGTGAAAAAAGCCCTTTGAGAAGAAAAGGGCACCAGGTGAGATGTTTGTGGGGAGGAGAAGCTCAGGAGCTAGAATGTTTCTCGTGCCAGTAGTTGGGTGTAGATGCTCAGCCAAAACCCCATCCCAGTGATCCTTTTTTTCCTCTTGCCAACACTGCCCTCTCCCCCTGCAGCCCCTGACTGCCCCAGGTGTCATTACCCAGTGGCTAATTAGCAGGTGGATGGTCTTGCCTTTGTGTGTGTCCACGCTGTGCAGTGTGTGCAGATCCTCCCCGTGCTTTTCCTTCCCAGCTCATGGCTCCTGTGTCCATCCCATGCAGGGCTCAGGCTGCTGAGCCCACGTGTGTGTCCTGAGGAACTCCTTGTGCTAATGCAGTGTGTCCTGAGGGAGACTCGAGGCTTTCCCTCCCACCTAGTCATAGGCAGAGCTGGCCAGCAAATAGGGTTGATTGACTTCTTTTCTCAGCATCACTGCCAGGAATTGTGTTTTCCTTGGGTCCTTCCCTAGTGAGACAAGAAAACTGAGTCCCATCAGATTCCACAGAGTCTCCCCCTGGTCCCATGTTGGTTGTGTGTTCTGGTAGTTGCTGGAATCCAGCTGGAACTCAGGAGATTGCCAGATCTCTGGATTCCCCCACGTTCCCCCCCCCCGAACCCTGTGTGTGCCTCCCACAGGCTGGAGAGGGCTGGGAATGGAGTTGAAAGGTTTCCTCAGTGCTGCTCACCACCTCATAGCTCCCATGTCTGTTGGCAGTTACATTCAGGTTGCTCCATGAAATTCTCCATATTCCAACTAAACGACTTGGCTTTAAAACTCGCATTTCCCTCTCCTCTCTCCCCTTCGGTCTGTGCTTGGGTTTTTTTGCCCTGGGATCACACACCTGCCTTTCCATGGAGTGGTTGGCTGTCCCTGGCTCTCTGGGCTGGCTCTGGAGGTTGTCACCTCGGTGGCTGCAGGTGGCTGTTGTAATCAGAGGCTTCGGAAATGTGCTGCTTGATTGGTGTCCTTCTGCAGACTGAACAAACCCAGCTCTTTTCAGAGGGATTTCTGTAGTGGAACAGAGGGAAAACTGTGTCCCTAGCTGGCATTTCCTAGAAAACACTTTGGTGTACGACTGAGCTGCAATAATTCCAGGGTATTCGCTTCCAAAGCTGGTTTTTTGTTGGTTTTTTTTTTGCCTAACCAAATGGAACACGTTCAGGTTTTCGAGCTCCCAGTTGCCATTTTTCTCTCCACATCCACCAAGACAGTTGATGAAAGAATGTTTCTTTTGCTATTCTGTCTCTGTATGTGCTGTTTTTTTGCTTTGTAGTAACTCAGGTTGGTGTGTCCCAGGGACATAATATGTGTCCAGACCCTGGGATTCCAGAGAGAGGCAAAAGAATAGGCAACGATTTTAGGTAAGAACCTTTTCCGTGTGTGGTTTTTTTGCATGCTGCAAAGCTCCTGTCTGTGCCATTGTGTGTGCTCCCTGCCCTTCTGTAGTCTGTTCCAGAGACCATCTGCACCCCTCTAATGTGTTCTCTCTGAAAACTCTGCCCAGATTAGTGAGGGAGAAGAACAAGTGTCTATGAACTTGCACGTGTTGGGAGGTTTCATCCCACATGAGGATCCCCAACTGCCCTCTCTGAGTCTTTTCCTTCTCACAATGCAGGGGTTTGGCCAGGTTGGATAATCCATGTGTGTTGTCATTCTCCCTCTGGTTAAGAGCAGGAAAAATACTGTGTTAAACAGCAAAAACAAACAAATAAAAAATCACTTTTAAAACTAACTTAAGCCCCAGTCTGGCTTTGCCCCTAGTGAATTGGAGGTGACTGATACAGTTCCTGGTCAGTAAGTATATGTGGTGTTAGATAATTGGGGTTTTATAAAGCTAAAAACAATGCTGTTATTCCCTTCCAGTTGCAAATGTTCCTTTGCAGTGTGCAGGACTGACCTGAGCTGCTGCCAGCAATGGGGAATCGATATTTAATCTCATTTCGCTGTCGATGCCTCTTTGGGTCACACATACAAAAAAAAAGTGTCTTTCCATTGAACCTGAGTCTATCAACTTTTCCTGAAATCCAGCAAATGGCTGAGAGGGGAGGAAAAAGAATTCCCAGTAGCCCCTGAATGTGCCACAGGAGAAATTCTCAGCTACTATGAACTGGATGGTGTTGCCTGAGTGAATAAAGTTGGCTGAAATAGCGAAGGGGCTGAATCCAAACCCTCAGAATAAAGAGCAAATCTCTCTCAGCAGTAGATAAAGATGATTTTTAAATTTTTTTGGCCCACTTTATAAGAATGCTGAGCATGGCATCTCTTGGGGCTGAGCCTGTGCTCCCACTGCCTCAGATCCCCGGTGCAGCAGCAGTGAAAGGCTGAGCTGAGCTCGTGGCTAACAGCACCTCAGGCAAACAGCAGCAGCACAAGGAGCTGTGCCAGGCAGAGCTTGTCCCTCATTCATTAGCTGTTGCCTGCCTGGGAACTTGCTCTGCTCTCAAATTGGAGGCTCTCTGGGATGGTACAAAAGAAGAGACAAAGCTGTCGGTGCAGAAGTGTCTGTGTCGCTAATGTTCCTCTCTGTTCTGCCTGGTAGGTTAGGCTCCAGCATCCAGTTCAGCTGCAACGATGGCTACGACCTGCAAGGGTCCAAGAGCATCACCTGTAAGAGAGTGAGTGACATAATCGTGTCTGCTCTCAAATTGGAGGCTCTCTGGGATGGTACAAAAGAAGAGACAAAGCTGTCGGTGCAGAAGTGTCTGTGTCGCTAATGTTCCTCTCTGTTCTGCCTGGTAGGTTAGGCTCCAGCATCCAGTTCAGCTGCAACGATGGCTACGACCTGCAAGGGTCCAAGAGCATCACCTGTAAGAGAGTGAGTGACATAATCGTGGCCTGGAGTGACCACAGACCAGTGTGCAGAGGTGAGAACAAAGCATTCACTCAGCTATGGGCACTGAGTCAACCCTGAATCACCCTTAATCAGAGAATCATACAATCATACAGTCAGCTGGGTTGGAAGAGACCTCCAAGATCATCCAGTCCAACCCTACTGTGGTTACCAGACCATGGCACCAAGTGCCACATCCAGTCTCAGCTTGAAAACCTCCAGGGATGGTGAATCCACCACCTCCCTGGGCAGCACATTCCAATGCCTGAGCACTCTCTCTGGAAAAAATCTCTTCTAATATCCAACCTAACCCTCCCCTGGCAGAGCTGAGTCTGTGCCTTCTTGTCCTGGGAGAAGAGACCAACCCCCACCTGACTCCAACGTCCTGGCAGGGAGTTGCAGAGGGTGAGAAGGTCTCCCCTGAGCCTCCTCTTCTCCAGTGTTCCCTTCCTGCATCCCCTGTCCTGTCCTTGGGTTTGTCACCTCTTGGTCAGAGAATCATGGAATGGTTTGGGCTGGAAGGGACCTGAGAGCTCATCTCAGCCACCCCTGGTGTGTGTGGGGCTGGTGGAAGTCTCAGGGATGGGAGGAGAGTGATGGTTGGACCAGGTTGGTCCCACTTACCTTAGATACCTCTATGGAAAAGGACCTGGCACTCAGCAGGAGCTGCTGGTAATGTCAGGTGAGTTGAACAAATAGCACAACCCTTGGAGCAGTTATGGAATCATAGAATCCCAGACTGAGTTGGGTTGGAAGGACCTTAAAGATGCTCCAGTTCCACCCCTGCCATGGGGTCCAGGCTGCTCCAGGCCCCATCCAACCTGGCCTGGAACACTCCCAGGGCTGGAGCAGCCACAGCTGCTCTGGGCAACCTGTGCCAGAGCCTCAGCACCCTCAGAGCCAGGAATTCCTTCCTAATACCTAAGGAAGATCATCCATCTCTCTATTCCAGGTATTTCCTTTTATGGGATAAGGAAGAGAGGGGGGGGAAAGGGTGAAAGCCTGGAATAAAGAGTGGAGAAGCTGAGAAGGAGGGAGATGCTTTGAAATAGAAGTGGTGGGCAGCACGTGGGATGTTTGGGCTGTGGCATCATCCTGCTGGTCCTGCCCCAGCCATGAGCAGCAGTGAGTGGAGTTTTCCCTCAATGGAAAACACACTAATGCTCATTTTGCCTTTGGCCTTTTTGTTTTCATTCTCTCTCTAAAGACTCACATGAATAATTGTGATATTTGTCATGAATAATGAGCAACTTGTAATGTTTTGATTCAATCCCTTTAAAGCTTTTCAAGTCATAAATAGGTATTTTTTCCAGTCTTTTTTTTCCCCTTTAATTTCATCTGCAGATTTTATTTTTTTTTTCTTTCAAGGCTTTGGAATCCCATCTAATTCTTGAAACAAGCCTGGAATAAATTGAATCAGTGTAAGAGGATATTTGGCATAAATATATGACACTATAAAGGAACTTTCTGATGTCCTTTTGCAAGAGATAAGAAAGGATTTGTCTGCATTATGAGGTTTCTATGAATCAACTTAGGGTTTTTAGCTTCTAACTTTTGTGTTGTGGGAGTTTTTTTCCTTCTTTTTAAAAAGTTTGATCTCTATTTCAGCTTTATAACCCTTTTCCCTCTGTTTGTTACATTTCCCTTCTGGATTTCTCTCTGGTCAAGGTGCCCTGAGCAGGTTTGATCCCTCTGGGCTGGGATAACTTCTAATCCCCAGGGATCAAACCTGGCACTGCAAGGAGAGGATGTTCTTCAGCTTCCCCAGTGACAGCACATTCCCTCTGGATCCTGGGGAGACTCTTAATCCTTTTTGCCTAGTTTTAAACGGGGAATAATGGGATTTACCTCCTTTTTAAGGTCAGATGGGACCTATGTAAGAGTTGCAGGATGAGGGATGAGGTTCAGCACTGTGGTTAGGTGTCCTCAGCTCCTTCCTGAGCTGCTGCTGAGAATCAGATTATCAACCAGGTTGGAAAAGACCTCCAAGATCCCCAAGTCCAACCCTACTGTGGTCACTAGACCATGGCACTAACTGCCACATCCAGTCTCAGCCTAAAAACCTCCAGGGATGGTGAATCCACCACCTCCCTGGGCAGCACATTCCAATGCCTGAGCACTCTCTCTGGAAAAAATCTCTTCCTAATATCCAACCTAACCCTCCCCTGGCAGAGCTTGAGTCTGTGCCCTCTTGTCCTGGGAGAAGAGACCAACCCCCACCTGACTCCAACCTCCTGGCAGGGAGTTGCAGAGGGTGCTAAGGTCTCCCCTGAGCCTCCTCTTCTCCAGGCTGAACACCCCCAGCTCCCTCAGCCTCTCCTCATGGCACTTGTGCTCCAGTCCCTTCCCCAGCCTCGTTGCTCTTCTCTGGACCTGCTCCAGCCCCTCAATGTCCCTCCTGAGCTGAGAGCCCAGAGCTGAGCACAGGTGTGGCCTCACCAGAGTCCAGGGCAGAATCACCTCCTGGTCCTGCTGACCACACTGTCCTGCTCCAGACCAGGTTTCCTCATGTTTCCTTGTGACCACCTGTGTGCTTACAGTTTGTCCCAGGAGATCATTCCCCGTGTCTTGCTGCAGTTTGGAGTGGGTGGACAGAATGCAGTTGCCACGTGAGCAAATCCATCTCCTTTGAGATGGGAGATAATGAATTTTGAGGCTCCCTCCCAAGAGCAGAGGCAGCTCCAGATCCAGGAGGAGGAGGATGCTGCTGCTGCTGCTCACATCTTCTGCTGGAATATTACAGCTAAATATTACATCAAAGGAATTCCACAGGCAAAAATTTCCCTGCTTAAGCACTTTGCAGCTTCTGCTTTACCTGAGATGTTTTTTAGGATGCAGAGCTGAGCTACCATCTTGGTTCTGAGCCCTCAGTCGGATCAGACTGAAACCAGCCTAATGAATACTTAATAATGGCCTAATAAATTCTTGGGTTGGGTTTTGATCTGCAGGAAGAAAGGAAATGTGGCTTTTTGGGGGCATGAAAAAAGAGCTGCATCTTACCTGGTATCTTCCATGGTTTCATGAAACCAACTCCATGGTTTCCTGAACTCCTGGAGGTGAAAGTGGTTTGGTGAGGGCATTAATAGGGTGGAAAAAAAAAGGATAAAATCAGTCAAAAGTGAAATAATTCTGAGCACTAGAGGGTGGGTGATTGTGGAGTGGTCTGATGGTCCAACTGCTTGATGGTCCTTCTGTTTGATAGCTCCTGGAAACAGGGATAATACACCCTGGGAAGAAGGCTTGATAGCTCTTGGGAATAGGGATAATAACCCTTGGGAACAGGTTTGGTATCCCTTGGGAACAGGGATAATAACCCCTGGAAACAGGGTTTGATATCCCTTGGGAACAGGGATAATAATCCCTGGAAACAGGGTTTGATAGCCCTTGGGAACAGGTTTGATGTCCCTTGGGAACAGGGATAATAACCCCTGGAAACAGGGTTTGATATCCCTTGGGAACAGGGATAATAATCCCTGGAAACAGGGTTTGATAGCCCTTGGGAACAGGTTTGATGTCCCTTGGGAACAGGGATAGGTTTGATATCCCCTGGGAACAGGGATAAAAACCCCTGGGAACAGGTTTGATAGCCCCACTCACGTCTCCATCACACCTAAAACCTTCACCTCAGTTGCATGAGTGGAAAAAAGGAATGTTTAGCCTCATGCCAACAACACAGAGCAACAATCTGAGGTCTTGAATTCTCCCCCATGTCCATAACGTGTCCATAACTCCTTTGGCCTCCTCCAAGGACAAACTACAGAGACCTCACTGCCACCCCTGTCTTGTTTTGCTCTCCCCAGCCAGGATGTGTGACGTGTACCTCCGTGGGCCCAGTGGGGTGATAACCTCTCCCAACTACCCCGTGCAGTATGACAACAATGCCTACTGCGTCTGGGTCATCACCGCGCTCAACCCGGCCAAGGTAGGTCCTCCTGGCAGCACCTCAGAGCCTCAGCTGGGCTGGTGGAGCTTTTCTGCTTCAGGGAGGGCAAGTCTTGGGTGTTTCCCAGCCTGGTTTGGGTTGGGAAGGACCTTCAGGGTGGAGATGAATGGGAGTGTGAGCTCCAGCCTTGGCACGGTGAAGACACCAGCAGAGCTGTGGCCTTTGAGAATGGGTTGATGAACCCTCTGGTGTATGTGTGCATCACATAGAAATGGCTTTTTGAGGGTAGCATGGCATGGGTTGGGTTGGAAGGGATGTTAGAGATTGTCTCATTCCATCCCCTGTTGTGTGTGGGGCTGGTGGAAGTCTCAGGGATGGGAGGAGAGTGATGGTTGGACCAGGCTGGACCCGTTTAGCTTAGATACCTCTATGAAAAAGGACCTGGCACTCAGCAGGAGCTGCTGGGAATGTCAGGTGAGTCAAAGAAGTAGCACAACCCTTGGAGCAGTCAGAGAATCCCAGACTGGGTTGGTTTGGAAGGACTTTAAAGCTCATCTCATTCCACCCCACCATGGGCAGGGACATCTTCCACCAGCCCAGGGTGTTCCAAGCCCTGTTCAACCTTGAACACTCCCAGGGCTGGAGCAGCCACAGCTTCTCTGGGCAACCTGTGCCAGAGCCTCAGCATCTTTACATTTAACCCTTGTTTAGCCACTCAGCTCTGTTTCTGCTCTCCTCTCCCCCCACAGACTCTTCCACATGTCTCTCAGCTGTTTAACTCCCCTAAGAACTCACCTTCCCTCTCTGCCGAATGCTCATTTTGTTCGAGGATGCAATTAAAAGGGAATGTAATTATTTTGACTCGAAACCTCTTTGATATCTTGGCATGAAGGGGGTGAAATGCCAACCAGCTCAGCAAAGGGCCTCATTACAGCACAGCTCACTTGTGCCAGGAATGCTGATTTTCCTTGTCCTTTTGGCCAAGGCTGAGCCCCAACCAGCTGGATTTCAGCCCCAAGGGGCAGAGGGCAGGGCAGGAGGGAGGTGTGGGGCTGTCCCCTGCTATTTGGGCAGTGTTGTGCATTTCTAGGCAAGTCCTTTCTGTCTGCACATCTGATTCCTCCAGTCTGTCCTCACTGAGCACATAGGGAACAAGCTCTGGCTGCCTTGGCCTGGCAAAGATCAAGTCCTTTCCATTTTCCACTGGCAGTGGCAATTGAGGGCAGTACTCAGTGTCTCCCAGTTTTTTCCAGCCCTGCCCTCTCAGCCTGTTCCTCTCCTCCAGATCTGTATAGGAACAGAGGAGCAAGAATTACTTTGCCATGTAGCTCAAAAGAGACTTTCTGGGGTGTTATTCACCATCATCTACTCTCAGAATCATAGAGTTTTAGGGGTTGGAATGGAGTTTAGAGATCATCTGGTGCCAACCCCATGGGCAGGGACAGCTCCCAGCAGAGCAGGTTGCTCAAGGCTTGATCCAACCTGGAATGAACACCACCAGGGTTGGAGCATCCCCAGCCTCTCTGGGCAACCTGTCTCATTGCTTTTAGGATCTGAGTTCCTCCTGACACCTCTCCACGAGGAGTGAGTTCTGCATGCCAAGGCTCTGAGCTGCTCTGTTTATTCCTTGGTCCTTCTGGCCAGTCCTTCTCAGGCTCTCTGCCTCCTGCTGTTGAGCCAACATTTCCTAGACACTTTGGAATCCCAGGATTTCATCCTTTATCCTGGGAATTGCTAGGAAGTGCTGACAGTCACACTGGTTCCCTGCTCACATGCATGGAGATGTGAGTTCTGCATGCCAAGGCTCTGAGCTGCTCTGTTTATTCCTTGGTCCTTCTGGCCAGTCCTTCTCAGGCTCTCTGCCTCCTGCTGTTGAGCCAACATTTCCTAGACACTTTGGAATCCCAGGATTTCATCCTTTATCCTGGGAATTGCTAGGAAGTGCTGACAGTCACACTGGTTCCCTGCTCACATGCATGGAGATGTGCCCTGGGTGTAGCATAGGTTGACACTTCCATTTGGGGTTTGGGGGGACAAATTATGAAGAAGGAGATGGAAATCATTATCAAAATACACTCATGGGCTGTGTACATGTCCATTGTTTTCCTGAGCCTTCTTCCTGTTGCTTTCCTGTTGAATATCCAAGTCTAATCTCCACTTCTGTCCTTTGCTTTTCTGCCCCTCTGTGCACAAATTTTCCTGCTTTTCCATCAGCAGTGTTATAGGATAAGTTCCTCCTTTCATCTTCCTGGGCACACTGTCTCATTTTTCAGTGGGAATTTAGGGGAAATTTCTCCTCTTGTCCTGCTTAGTTTCTTCCTCAGCTTTCAGAGCTGAGCAATAATGAACTGTTGATTAGAACAGAGAATCTGGAAATCCTGAGCCTCAGCTTTTATACAGCATAAAGGGGATTTGAAAGTGGGAAAAATCCATTGGACTGTGGTTGGGGCTGCACATCAGAGCCTGAAAAAGGGATGGACTGGGACAAATCAGCAGCTCCTTGGGACTGTGTGAGGAGACTCCGATCTCCTTTGCCTTTGAAATGATAAATGGTTCATTAGTCATGGCAGTTTCTAAAGGAGTTTCAGATGTTCCATCCTGGAAGTGTAATTACAGGTAGGGAAAAGCTTCGTGTCTCTCTGCAGCAGAGAGGGAATTGCTCCACCTGCTTGGGGAAGGTCACAGCTCTACCTGTTTGTCCTTCGTGCCAAGGGGATGATCCCAACGTTGCCCATTCCCCAGGGTGGGTGAGGGGAAGGATTTGAGGCTGAACTAATGAAAATGCCTGGAAAATCGTGGGAATATAAGCAGCATGATGGGCCTGAGCTGGAGCCTGCTGAAGTCAGGGTAGTCTTTGTGTTGACTCGAGTGGTGGTTGGATCAGGTCCTGTTCCGTGCAGCTCTCGGGATGAGCGATGGGAAAGCCACAGAGCTGAATTTAGAACTCATTTGCAAGTCATCTGTGCTATATTTGGTGAGGAACTGTGAGCCAGATGCACTGAGCCCCATAATCCCTCCAAGTTTGCTCAGAATCCTGCACCAGCAGCAGGGAGGGCACAGAGCTCCTCCCTGACAACTCGCAGCTATTTCCTCTCTGAGAGTGACATAAACCTGTTTGGGGACATTCAGGGTGTATATATAGATCCTTTTTCTGCTGGGCCCTGGTGCCATGGGAATTAATTCCAACCACAGTGGAAAAATAAATCACTTGGGGAGCTGAGAAATGCATTTGGTAATTGGTGGATTTGCATTAAAAAAAAAAAACCCTTCCTATTTCTGGGCCTTTCTTTGCTCTAATGGATGTTACTGGTTGGTGGTTCTCCTGGGGTTATTCTCACCTGGAATTTCAGGAGCCAAATAAAGCTGTGTCCAAGTTTCTTGTGTCCCTGCTGGAGGGAGGTGAACCCCTCCAGGGGCTGATTCAGCCCAAGTGAATTGAGCTGCTGGAGCCTGGGGAGAAGGGGAAATGGATAACCTGCTTGGAAAGTGCTGGGATGGAACTGCACCGAGAGGATTAGTGGTTTTTTTTCCTCCCCTCTGAATGTGACTGCACTTCAAATCACTTGGTGGCAAAAAAGCTTTGGAATCAGGTGTCACATTCCAGCCTATTTCCTTGACTTTGCTAATTGCTTCCTGTCACTGGAGCAGCTTCAAACGAGGTTTGGTGGCAGCTCCGTGTTTGTGTGTGCTGCTCAGGCTCTTGTTGCTTAATGAATCATTAAATAATCTTCAGCTTTCAGAGCAAAAACAAAAAACCAAACCCCAGAAAATAAGCAAATGGCTAAATAAATATTACATTCAGCATCACTTCCTGTGGCATGAGGTTCCAGGCTGGAGTGTGCTGGATGTAATTAATGATCTAATGAGGGTCAGAGGGACAGAATTGCAGCTCAGTGTGGTGAGTGATGGAAGTAATGATGTGTGTAGTGTCCCAGCTCTGTGTTCTTTGTCTTAATTATATTAGGCCATCGTTACATGCTTTAATAATGATGTGCACAGCTTCGTGTTTCGGTGCTGCTCCTCCAAGCAGTGGTTCCAGGGTTGGGGAAAGGAGCACAGAGGCTCCAGGTTCATGGTCCTGAGGCTTCAGGGGGAAACTCAGGGTGTCCTGGCTGAAATATCTACTTTGCTTTCCTATCCATCCAAACCCTGTGTTTGTCTGGAGAAGAGAGCAGCACATGACACCTCAATTTGGAGTCTCCAAACACCATTATTTGGCTGCTTGTGCTGTGAACTTTGATACTTTTACCCCCCTGGGATTGCACTTGTGCTCAAGTATTTGCTGATTTTAACAGGCAGTAAATTCCCAGGTGAAGAGTTTGGTTTTCCTGTGCTTTCTCCTTGCTCCAAGTCAAGGTGGGGACTGGCACGAGGTGTCTGTGGCCCTTGGCACTCACATGGCTCCTTCTCCTTAATCACTTTTGGTCACTTCCACATTGTGTGAAATAGCTAATAGTACCCTAAACCCAAATTTGGTCACGTCATCTGATAAAATTTAGGGAATTTGATGTATGTACAGCCACGTGTGCAAAGATCTGTTGCATTCCAGTGGTTTTGTGCTGGATCAGGTCAGATAAACAGCTCCAAGAGACAAAGCTCCATTGATTTCTTCTGCTGTTGGGGATGAGAAGAACTTCTGTCATTAAGCTCTTCCTTTGCTGTTTGTTCAGCCTGTCCAAGGTTGGTTTAAGGACCTCTGTGCCCTAAGTCATGTTATGTTTGAAAAGAAGAGCTCTCCAAAGCAGCTAAGAGGTTTGGAACACAAACCTCTCACTTCCATGGGACCTCTGCTGCTAAATGACACTGAGAGGCTGCAGAAATCCTCTGCAGGGGTGAAAGTTTGGGGAGAAGAGGAGAGAAAACACAGGAAACAAATTGCTGTGGACAGAGATGATGGTGATGAGTGTGTTTGCAGACAGCTTGAGGTGATTTCCCTGAGCTACCCCAGTGGTAACTCCTGTGAAACCTTTCTCGGGCTGACAGAAGCTGCTGCAAACCAGGAGAACTTTATGAGCACAGAGCAAGAAAAAGACTCTTCTTGCACTGTGTGTGCCAAGCACGCTGCTGTGTGCACATCTAAATCCATCAACACAGAGCAAGAAAAAGTCTCTTCTTGCACTGTGTGTGCCAAGCATGCTGCTGTGTGCACATCTAAATCCATCAGCAGGAGCTCAGGGCTGGGAAGGAAAGGGTAGAGGCACCTGGTGCAGAACAACACACTGAGATGCCAACACAGCAGGAGCTCAGGGCTGGGAAGGAAAGGGTAGAGGCACCTGGTGCAGAACAACACACTGAGATGCCAACACACAGAGCTTATCAACGAAGTCATCTGGGAATCGATAGATAAGGCAGAAAAATCCGAGAGGTAATTTCAGGGGGAGCTCAGTGTGCCTGGGAGAAGTGCTGGAGGGCTCTAAAGAGTGAGGACAGTCACCTCTGTGATGTCCTGGAGATACTAATGCTCTGCTAAATTGCTCCTCTCTAGAGCAGCAGGTTCCTCAGCAGGGCAGGAGCTCTGCTGCCCACCTGGGCAGGCGACTCGGATTAACATGCTGCATCTTTGCCAGGTTATCAAACTCACCTTTGAAGAATTTGAACTAGAAAGAGGATATGACACTCTGACAGTGGGGGATGGAGGACAAGTTGGAGACCAGAAAACTGTGCTTTACGTGTAAGTAGCATGTGCTGTGTCCCTGAGGAACTCACCTGGGCTCTCCCTCCCCGGGTCAGGGGTTTGCTCTGCTCACTGTCCCTCACTGGGTGTTGCTCTTTGCCATTTCTGGGGCTGTTCTTGGTGTGGTTTTCCCTCCTCACACCCTCCCAGGCTGCAGCTGACAGGAAGGTTCTTCCCTCTTTTTGCTTCTCTTCTCTCTTGGACTTGAGTTTTTGTGGGGCCCTTGGAGAGAGGCTGAGGCTGTGCCAGGGGTGAATGTTGGGATACAAGAGGAAATGCAAATCAGGCTGAAACCAGGAGCTGTTTGGAGATCTCTGTCCCCTAAATCCTTAGCTTGGAGTACCATCCTGAGCAGTTTACACCCTGTGTGTGTTTGGGTAAATGATGCTTCTTCAGGCCTGAGGTTTGGTCCTCCTCAAGTTGAATCCTTTAGCTTGCAAGTAGATGTTCTGCAGAGGTTTCTTCAGCAGAGAAAACATATAGATGGTCCTGTTTTCCTTCCAGGCCTTTCCCAAACTTCTCCAGCAAAGCTGCCAACTGGTAGAGAGTGTTATTGTGGTTTTCATCCTTCCTCTTCTCTTATTTTTCCTCCCATTTTCACTTAGCTTAACATTTCCTTGTCTCCCCCAAACCTGTTTGTTTGAGGTTCCTTTTTCCTACCCATTTCAGCCCATGAGCTGCTGATCCCTCAGTCAGGAACCTGCAATGTCCAGCAGTGTAAAGGCTGATTAGTGCAGAAGTGTTGGTAATTAAAGGGTTCCAGAACATTTCACAGCTGGTTGGTCTCAACACATGTGAATCACTGCCTGGGGAGCACTTTGTAGCCACTTGCTGAAATGATTTCTCACTCCATTCCTTTTGCTTTGCTCAGAACACATGAAGATTCTCCTAGGTTTGATTTTGACCATTTTTTCCTCCCTCTGTATCAGCTACTCAGCCCCTTGTGATACCTGAGACTGCACAAGGTGTAGTAGTGTTTTCTCCCTCTCTATCAGCTACTCAGCCCCTTGTGGTACCTGAGACTGCACAAGGTGTAGTAGTGTCTGGAACCTTCTCCCAGTGCAGAATTTCCCAGTCAATTTACTAGTGCTGATCCTAGCAGGAAATTTGTCTGTTCCTTGAAAATCTGGGAGGATCAGTTGGAAAGCAATGAGATAGGAGAGGTGTGAGGAGCACAGTTGTACTCTAGTTGTAATCACTGTGGTTGAAAGCCCATGGACAACTTCTCTCAGCATTTGCTGCCTCCTTTACCTCCTGCCACCTGAATTCAGGTCCATCCACTGGCTACAAATAGGTTTCCTTGGAGGAATCAACATGCACAGACCCAATCCTGTCAGAGATAGAAGTTCCAATTGCATTCCAACTCTTCATCTCTCCCTGACTGCTCAAGAGGAGCTCAGTCCTGCTGCTTTTCAAAGGAAGAAACACACTTGGGTCCTCTTGCAGAGCAGCAGACACTACCCCAAACAGAGGCATGAAGGACCATTTGTCTCCAGTCTCACTCTCAGCCTTGGAAAATGCATCTCAGGGAACAGAACAGATTGTTAGGCTGAGCTTTCTGACTTGCAGAGAGGATTTTATTCCCCTAAAGCACCAAGCACCCAAATCAATCATTCAGCTTGTTAAAGTGCAACGGCAAAGCAAAATGCAAAGAGTTTTGAAGCACCTTTTGCTGCTGAGGGTTTTTCTCCTGGTGTGCTCCTCATTCCTGCCTGGCTGCTGCTTAAATAACTCAGGAATCAACAGTAACACTCCTGCTCTCTCCAGCAAAGCTTGGGGATGCAGAACAGGCATTAAAACAAGATCAGTTCTTCATTTACCTGTGCCTTGGGATCAGTAAAATTCCTGATGCAGGTCAAAGCAATCACAGAGCAAAGGTGGGGGCAGAGCTGGGAGAGCTTTCCTGGGCTTGGGAAGGATGATTGTGGTTTCAGGGATGAACACACTCCAGATTCCATGGCCAGAGCTTAAGCAGGGGCTGGTGCAGGTGTTGCACTGGTCCCTGGTGCGTGTGGAAGTCTCAGGGATGGGAAGAGAGTGATGATTGGACCAGGTTGGTCCCACTTACCTTAGATACCTCTATGGAAAAGGACCTGGCACTCAGCAGGAGCTGCTGGTAATGGCATGTGAGTCAAATAGTAGCACAACTCTTGGAGCAGTCAGAGAATCACAGAATCCCAGGCTGGGTTGGCTTGGAAGGACTTTAAAATTCATCCAGTCCCACCCTACCATGGGCAGGAACATCTTCCACCAGCCCAGGCTGCTCCAAACTCCATCCAACCTGGCCTGGAACACTCCCAGGGATGGAGCAGCTCTGGGCAACCTGTGCCAGAGCCTCAGCACCTCCCAGGGAGGAATTTCTACCCTATATCTGACCTAAATTTCCCTTCTAGTCTGAACCCATTGCACCTTATCCTGTCCCTGCAGCTCCTAACACAGAGTCCCTCTCAAGCTTCCTCATAGGCCCCTTCAGCTCCTGCAAGGTGCTCTGAGGTCTCCACACAACCTTCTCTTCTCCAGGCAGAACAGCCCCAACTCTCACACAGGGAAGATGCTCCAGTTCTCTTCTCAGCTTCGTGGCCTCCTCTGGACTTGCTCCAACACTTCCATGTCCTTCTGATGTTGGGGACACCAGAACTGTGTGAAGGACTCCACTTGGAATCTCACCAGAGCAGAGACTCTTCCCTAAAAATCCCTTGGCAGATCAGCCACACTCTTCCCATTCTCCAGGAGACTGGAATTGCTCTGACTCCCCCTGGACATTGCAGGTTCCCTTTGCTCAGAGGGTGCTGCCACACAGAGCTGTTGAGCTGTGCTGCTTTGCAGTGACTCTGCCTCATCTGGGGGTGATTTTACCAAGGAGCCTTTCAGGTGCACCTGAGGTTGAGGCCAGGCAGAATCCAGAGCTTCACATCTGGAGGAATTCCAACTTCAGCACCTCCTCCCCAACCCTCTCATACCTGAGCACCTGCAGCAGCTTCACTTGAGGCAATTTGGACATTCCCCACAGACAATACCTTAGCAGAAACAGTCCAGGAACAACATTAAACACAGTTGCTAAGACAGGCAACATCCCAATCCTACTCCTGGAGCAATGATCCTTCCCACACACTGCTCCTGCTCCCAGCAGCTGAGGGAAGGGAAGAGTTGGGCTCAACTGGAGCATCTGTGCGTGTGGAAGATTCTTGTGTGGGTGGGGATAAAGCTCCAAAGCTGTGTTGAACCACAAGGAGGTGATTAATCCCAGAGGCTGAATGAGCCTCTCATGGCTCATTAATACAGAGATCTTGGTGACATTTCTCTAAATCTCCTCAGCTCTTCTCAGAGGATCCTTGAGGGAAAGGCAATGTCCTGCTCAGCCCAAGCTGCAGAACCTCTCAAGGGCTCACAGGGCACATTTGAGGCTCATGCCTTGTCTTCCAGGTGGTTTTTTTTATTTAGATCCTTGTAGAAACTTCTTTGCCAGGGTGCAAATGTAGCAGAGAATGTGTGGAAAGGCATTTCTTTAATGCTAGAAAACACTCTAAAGATATTTCAGAGGATTCAGTCCCCAGTTTGGGTTCTGGAAATTTTCTTTGTTTGCTTCTGGTTTGCCTCAGTGAGGAAGGAAATGATTCCTTTTGCTGTTGGATAATAGGTTGGAATAATGGCACTAGATTGTAGTGATGTCAGTGGTGTGAGGATAACTTGCAGCCCTTGAGCTGTGGCACAGATAGCAGAATGAAGAACACACAGGGAGGCAAATCAGGCTTGAAAATCGATCAGGTTTTTTGGGTCTTGTCCTCTTTGGGGTGATTCTCAGTGGGTTTGATATTCCTCATGGTGTTTTCTGCTCCGACAGAGGTGATGTGGCCTTTGTTTTGGTGGGGGAAAAAAAGACACACAGGCTGTTGACTTGGTCTTGTCTCTCCTTGCAGCCTGACAGGCACCACTGTCCCCGACCTCATCGTCAGCACTCACCACCAGATGTGGCTCCTCTTCCAGACAGACAGTGTCAGCAACTTGCTGGGATTCAAAGCAACTTATGAAGGTAATCCAGGCACCTCCCCCAGCATTTCCCTCTTTAAGGAGCAGGGATGAGATGAGCACAGAGAGGAAAAGGAATTAGAAGCTTTTCTAGAAGCTCTGCAGATACCTTTTTTTCCCTTAAGGTTGAAGCTTTGCTCTGCTAAGAACAGCTTTGATGGGTTCTTTTCCATGAAAGTTGACTTGGGTGGGTAATGTCTCGTTGCCACTTCATCTGCTTTGGTGGAAAAGAGTTGCTAAGTCTGAGCTGATGGCAACAGACTGTGTCAGTGGGAGGAAATGAGATGGAGTATCAGTGGTTCCAGTAGATCAGTGGTGTCAACTGCTTTAAACCTCGACTAGGCTTAAGTATGACAAATGAAAGGCAAGTGAACACTGGGATTTTTCAAAGAGCCTGATGAAACACATCAGGCTGTGCATGCTGAAGTTTGGCATCAGCTTCTGTGTTGTCACAGTTTGCAAAGGTGTGATGGAAAAGTCTTCCTTCCAGCCCTGCCAAGTGACTGGTGATCCCAGCTGAAGCTGGTTTTACACCTTGTTCTTTACAGTGCCCTAAATACACATTCTTAGCATTTATTCCTTTGTAAAAAGGGTTTCTCTTGGCCTTGCCACGTGTCAGGGCAGTGTCAGCCTGTGCTCAGGGCAGGACCTGCCTGGGTGGTGCTGCTGGTGGATGCTGAAGGAACAGCATTTGGAGCCTGAGGGATCTGACCTACAGAAAACTGAGTTGGACCAAATGTCATAGAATCCAGGGAGGTTGGGCAGAGCCTCAGGGGAAATTAGGTCATGATACTGCAGCGTTTGCAGGGCCAGGTCAGCAGAGAAGTCATAGAGGGACATAGGTAAGGGAATTGAGAGATGGAGAAGGTAAATCCAGGCTGATTGTCCAGGGAGCATCTTTCAGTCAGTGGCAGTGACTGCAGCAGCCTGGACATGTGCTGGTTGGGGGGTCTGACCCTGCTGAGTTTGGCTGGGGGTGATTTGGGGCAGGTCAGGCTGCTGCCCCTGCCCCTCTGCTGATGGGCAGGAGAACACTCCAGCCCTGCTCTGAGGTCCTCACTGATTCCTCCTTCACATCCTGCCTCCTTGGCTGACCTCCTGCCAAGGGCAGTGTGACACATGCTTTCAGTCTTGATAAATCTTGTGTTTCCCCTCTGAGTAAAGTTGCACAGCTCATGATGTACAGACTTC